CCCAGCTACCCTGCGAAGGAAACTCATTTCGGCTGCTTGATAATGATAATTTAAAAAGGAAAAATATCCATTTAAAATTATGGTTTCATAAAATAATAGAAAAATAAATAAAACTGTCCCAGACCAATTAAAATACAATTGCTCTTGAACAGCAAACCACTGTACCTGTCAACGGGCACAGAACTCTAACTGAACATTATAGAAAACACCTGACTTCAGTTATTGCCTTAAAGTGTTGCTCTACAGAATTGGGACACTAACAGAGCCCACTAGTGGTCCAATGCACTTCAGTTTTCACTTTATGATGGCAGCATCATGGTTTTGTTTGCAGCATGTTGTGTGTGGTTGCAGCGTTTTACTGTTGCATTTGTGTTTTTGTGTTTGCATGTTTTGGATTTTGCATTGTATGAGTGTTTGCAGCTCATTTTGGCGTTTGCTGCATGTTTTCTCCTGTTTCTCCTGCAGCTTGTTTCTTTTTTTGTTTGCAGCATTTTTTGTTTCCTTTTGTTTTTAATGCTCATGTGTTTTGGTAGCTAGGACAGAAAACTGCCCTCACACTCTGTTTATTTCATTCAATCAATCTACCTATTTATAAATTTTTTTTGGACCCAGACTGTAGAGACTAAAAATACATTTGTAATTCCTAGTATCAGTAATAATAGGGACATGTACTTGTCCATCAACTTCCCAGCAATATCTGAATGCCTCTGCAGCATTGCCTTTAGCTTCACCATACTGTATTCTAAATGCCTTTCGAGTCTTTTCCATTTTGAAAGCAAAATTTTTCAATCTGGATGTTGTATTTTTTTTTTTTTTTTTTTTTTTACAACTTTGCTGGGAGTTGCTGAAGATATTAGCCCCATTATTTAGTGGTTAACCAATTTCTTACATGTGCAATATTTTACCCCAGGCCACGTGGTGTTATTGTAAAAATACATAGAAGGGCTTTATTTACTTAACACACAAAAATAACAAATAATACTCCAGCAGGAAAAGGGTAATTTTTCACCAAAACATTGTATGCAACCGCCATATTCCACTGGCATAAACATTTAAAAAGTCATATAATAAGACTAAAGCCCTTTAAAGTCAGACAGAGTTTGCCTTTTTTGACACAGCCCAATCTTAAATAAAACATATATGTTGTTTAAAGGTAGCATATTATGGTCTAATCAGCCTCCTAGGGCATAGTTTATTTGCATGTTTGCATATTTCCATTCCATTTAAATGGTCATAAAAGGAGGCTAGAAACAGATGGGCAAGGTGAAAAACAAGGTAGTGGGCCATTTCCTTTTATGTAAAAGTGTTTTAATCAGCTGGTCAGTTAGACAACCTCATTTGGTCATCATAGATTCTTAATGATCAGAAGCATTTTAGAGACAGAATGTGTTGCTTGTTATTGAATTTAAGAGTTTCTGAATACATTCACAATATCAGTCGAGCTCTTCATTAGACTTTCTCATATCTTCAATAATTTGATAAAACACAACCTTGAAAGCAGCAAAAAAGGGTACCTTTGTACCGTAATAAATGCAGCCAATGAGATTTACGAAAACAGCAATGGGATTCTGTCTTTTAACTAGATAATGCAAATTCACTTTCCTTTGTGAGAGGAAATGAGTTTCTCAAGAGGTGCAGTTGGTGAAAGACCAGATAAGACAAAGTTACTATGGGAGTATCTGAATCGTCCATGACTCGATTAGCATTCTGATGAGCATAATACCATTTAAAAGAGAATGGTGTAATTCCAAGTGTGATACATTCAAATGACTGTGACTCATTGCAAGAGTGAAAATGCATATGGTATCAATATGAAGCAGCTGAATGATTTTAAAAACCCATTTCCTGAAACACATCATAACCATATTCTAAACAACTTGTATGTCTCAACTGAAAGTTATTTTTAGGTGATCTAAGACAATAGAACTTTATGTGACTATTGTACAGAGCACTTTAGAGGTGTGGTAGAGGCTCAAATCAAAGGTGTGCAACAAAAAAATCTGCAGCAATCATGTGATGCCATCATATCAATATGGACCAAAGCCTCAGAAATGTTTTGGCACCTTTTTAAACTACGTTGAGATGAATTTAGATGATTCCAAATGAAAATGTTGGCCCACCCAGAGGCTAGCATATTTTACCTAATAAAGTGTGCATTAGGTATAGGTGAAGCCGCAATAGAATGCAAAAAAAGTTGCAAAAAATGTGGTATTACATACAATAAAAACAATTGTGTTAAAGTAAAATTTTACCAATCAAAATATGTTTTCACCAAAAAAAAAAAGACAACAAGGAAATAAAACCCACTAAGCAATGATGTGTTTAGCTGTTCCTCCTTGCTGGAGATAGACATTAGCATCAAAGACGCACGTTGTCTGGGTCAGAACGCATTCTTAAAGTGCATATTGACAGGTAAGAATACGCGTCTTGCTGTACCATAATGACAGACGTAAAAAGTGGTGCTTGTAGGTAAAAGATGGCGAAAAAAGCTGTGAATTTTCGGAAAAACGGTTGCTTTTCGTGGGTGAATTTCAATCTTAACGTGATAATTGGATGCGAATAGTGGCATTCTTGGCTTGCCATACATGTCATATAAACAGCACACAGCCAGGGTTGCAGAACCAAAGGAGGCTTGGCTAACAAAGCAACAATTCCTGAGATGTATGTTTTCTGCTTTATCTGAAGAATTTCTGTGTCATCCTTCTTCCAGGTGTCAAAATGCAGTCAGTGCTTTGAAAAGTAAAATTTGGCATTTGCTATTCTAAGCAAGTTATTTCCACCAGCGGCTGATAAACATCTACCTCATAAGTGTACACCTGCTGGTGGCTTAGCCTCACACTTGTCCCACCGTCCTGTATCACACCTGGGCATTTTTAACAGAAGAATAAATTTTAGCACCCAATCTATGTAAAGCCCTTTTCTTATATCTAAAGTACATTATCAAAGTAAAAACTATAAAGGAGGCGAGAAATGTTTTTGCCTCCACCTAGTTTGTGTACTTTTAGTATTTTTGTGTTATAGTTCTTAGAAACCAGCTGCTACGTGCTTCTTTATTTAGTTGTTTTTGTGTTCTACCTTTTCTCTATGCTGGCTGTTGCAAATAAACAGCAAGAAATTCCTCCGAATTCAATAAGCTGAAACAATCTGTTGCTTTCACTTGTGCAAGTCATATGTTTAAGCCTAAGGAGTCAAAAGAGAAAGTCTGGAAGAAAATTGGTTTGAGGATGGCGTTTTTTTCTTAGATGACTAAAAGGTTTTCATAGATACCTTTTTGAAGAATCCAAAACAAGAAGAAAAGCTGAAAAAGTATTTTAAAGATTTTTCAAGATGCTTAAAACGTCTAATATAACCGACAAGCAAGAACAGTGAATGACAAAAAGAATGATTGTGTTTATAATTAGTTACATATTTTCTCTCATGCTGTTTGCATGTTCTTTTCATGCTTTCCTGTGTGTGTATTTATGATGTTAACCGTAAGCAGAGAGTAGAATGTCATGGAAGGTTTACATTAGTCAGCAGAAGCAGTGGACCACATCATTAGTCACCCTGACACCCTCTTCTGGCCCCGGCTTTATTGATGAGACCAAGCTCAACAGCTAACCCTCTCTTAACACACAAACACAGACGCTGATCCTCCTCTAAAAGCAACAGGAGACTGATTCAGCAGCTCAGGTGGAGAGGCCAGTACTGTGGCTTGGTATGAGCTAGGAGCTGCTGCGTGTCCAGAAAATTAACATCCAGCAGAGCAGAAAATGTTCAATGTTCAACAATGTTTTTTTTTTGTCTGCAGGTGGAGTGCACAGCTGATTCAGAAACAAATATCTTTACAACAGATCTGGTCAGGTTGTGAATGGCAGGGCACGATCATAGGGTTCCAAGTGTGTCACAGCAATGAGCTCAAAGCTGTTTATGGCCTCAATGACTCTGACATTTAGCAGGATGCTGCAATTTATCAGGTTCTTAGTCTAACTCAAGCACACAGGCACACAGTGTCACATAAAAGATTACCATTAGGTCTAACAGTGCTGCAACACATAACTTTGTGTACGTTTTAAACTGATGCTATGTGTGTAGATGCGTTTGGGAAAAGGAAAAATATTCCTTTAGACATTTATGATTAAATAAAATATAAAAGGAGGAGAAAACAAAACAAATCAATGCATTATAAATGCTCCAAATGTTCCTCCTGAAACACCCAATCAATAAGAATTTACTGTTTCGTAACAGGATACAGCAGCTACTTTCTGTTGATCAGCTTTAGTCCGTATATGGCAAAATGTATGCTTTTAAAATCTGTTCATATAAATAAAGCACAGCTTCCCACAATAAAGCAAATATTAGATTATTTTAGAACAGACAGTACTCTTATGTCCCTCATTTATAGCTTTAACCTTAAGCCATTTCAAAATTCATCATGCAAGTTGATATCAAGTTAAGGAGGAGTGCTCTCTGTATGCAGAGTCACTGTTTCAGTTGATTCTAAGAGTGAGTTCTTGCTAACCACAGGGGGAGTTAGAGACAGCAGTGATAGCATAATCTGTTTCTTCATTGCCTCTCTTATATTTTGTTCAGTAAGGCGTTTTCCACTTTTGCTTCTTTCCCGCATTTCTCAATGTTGCTTTTTTCAGTGGGTTTTCAAAAGTTGAGCAGTGTCAAATTCATTACTGAAAGGAAATATCCAAAATGCTGCTCTATCTTCAGATGAATGGCCATAAAGAAAAAAAGGAACTGTCAAAGCTGAACTGCGAGCTGAAAAGTGCTCTTTCTCTGTAGTTAATATTTAAAAAGTTCAGAAAAAACAGTGAAGACAGCAGACCTTCCTTTTGCAGGCTTTGGGGCCACAGAATCAGATATTTCAACTTAGGCTGTAATCAAACATTTACCCACACAGCTAGAAATAGAAATGGATTCATTTCCAGAGTCATTCACACCATCTCATAAACAAGCATGCACATACACACAGCAAATCACAACCAGATAAAAGATGTATGTGCTCTTACCCGAGCGTTGTCATAGTAACAATGGTGTACCAAAAGGAGGCTGGGATGCTGGTGAATTTGCTGGAGCTTGAACCCTTCTCTGCGTAGAACATGACAGTGGCAAAGATAATTATGGCCATGGTAAGGGAGAAGAGCAGGAAGCCCAGCTCCGAGGCACAGCTCTTCAGCGTGTAACCCAGGATGCGCAGGCCCTGAGAGTGACGGGAGAACTTAAAGATACGAAACACCCGGAAAACCCGCAGAGTCACGAAAGCCCCGCTCACGTCCTCATTGTCGGTCATCACCAGCCCAATGTAATATGGCAGGATGGCCACCACATCTATGATACTCATGACGGACCTCATGAAGCGGTAGCGGTTGGGGGCTGCAAACAGGCGCATCAGGTATTCCACGGTGAAGATCATCACACAGGCTGTGTCCATGCAGAAAAAGGCCACAGTGTAGCGCTCGCCACATGGCACTTCCTTCATGTTTGGCACTGAGCCACAGGGCACCGTCTCTACCACATTAGTGATGACAGAAACAGCAATAAAAAAACCAGTGACATAGTAAAAGACCAGAGCCATAGTTGAAGTGTGAGGGTTCTCAAAAGCCCGCCACATGGTCTCCCTGAACGTCATATTGGGCAGCTTGGCATCTTTGTTGTCCTCCTGATCGTCCATGAGACGTTCTGCATTCTCCCTCTTCCTGTCCTTGTACTCTTCATAGCAGCAATCCCCAATAATCTCTGGAACAATGCCAAAGAAGGCCAGCTCCTCCTCATACGAGGAGATGCACTCATATCGTGGATAGTGGAGCTTACCAGTGCGGTAGAAGTTGAGCACACTGTGAAACACATCAGGATCACGGTCAAAGAAGTACTCCTTGGTGTCCTCATTGTAGAAGAACTCCTTTTCCGAGCTACCGAGCAGCGTGTCCGGATAGCGGTCCAGCGTGTTCCTCCAGGTCTGGTAACGGCGTCCGCTGACATTAAGGACAATGAGCTCATCCTGCCTCTTGTTCTTTTCGGTGGGGGCAACTGGCATGGGCAAGTTGGCCACAGGCATCCAGCCGATCGCCGCTGCCCGGGCAAACGGAAGCCATGCTGCTACTCCCGCTGCCATGATGGTTCTGGCTCGGGGGAGCAAAGGGGAACAGGTCAAGCACCTTCGCTACCAGCCTTACTTCAGCTTCTTCACCATCTAGCATAAAAAGAGGGAAGAACTTTGAGAGGTTGGGGATTATTTACTTCAAAGGGATATGTCAACTACACCAAAGATATGTGGAATTTCTATCTGTTATTAAAAAAAAAAAAAAACAGAAGCTTCAATGTAAAGAACATTGCAATCTAAATAAAGGAAGAAAAGCCAGCCTTTTTTATTAGACAGCTGCTATAATGTATTCTTAATGGATAATCTTGCTGGATTACTAAAAGTATGATTAAAATATTGTTAATCATCAAATAAACGAGAACTACATTGCTAGATATAGTTTTGTTTGGTAAAACTTGCTTAGCTAGAGACACACTGCACCCTCAGAGAGCATTTTCTGCCTTGACTTCAAGGTTATCTTTCCTTACTGATTTCAGAGGAACTGCTGTGAGAGAGAACCTCCTCATGTCACAATTAACAGCAGGTAACTTAGAGGTCATAGAAGATAAATAGGAGAGCAAAATGCCTAAGTTGGTGAGGTTTTATCCTTTACATTGCTTTAAAACTTTGACTTTGTTAAAGGTTTTATTGGGGGAAGATGAAAAAACCTGTTGAGTTCCAACTCAAACAGGGACTAAATAAATAAATACATTAAAAAAAATAAAATAAAACTAGATGATCCATCTTTTACTTTCAAAATTAAGCAAACTACCCGCTGATGCGCATTTAAATAAACCATTTTCATTTGGCGATGTTCATTTCAAACTACGCTGGAGAACCTGAAGGTGCAATGAACCAAAGAGACACAGAACAGGTTGGTAAAAACATCCTCTTTGCAGCTCAGTGTCGCCAGTCAGACTTCAAACTCCCCGATCCTAAATTCTCCATGAAGAGAAACACGTCCGTCTCCAAGAACAGTTAAGTTACAACCAGACAGCGTGTTTTTTTTATTACCGTGTCCGAAAAAAATATGCCACATAAGAAGTTATTCAGCTAAAAAGAAAGACATTTCTACTAAGAAGGGAAGGAAAGTGGAAAAGTAGCATTGAGCGACGTACCGCAGCTGTTTTCTGTCAGTTTCCATGATGCAGGAGGAGAAATGATGAGCGCAGTCCGCTGAGAGGAGCGCGTTACCTTGGCTTTTAGGGATGACTAGTAGGAAGAGACTGAGGAGGAGGAGGAGCGCTCTTCCTCTCTCTCCTCCTCCCTCTCTCTCCCTCTTTGCGCAGCGATGGTTTATGAACCCAACCGCAGTTGATTCAGGATTTTAGGAAATGCATCATGACCGGTTGATTTAAAGGTTTATTTGTTGTTGTTTTTTTTCTGCAGAAATAACGAACTAGAAGTATTGCATTTGTTCCTTTAGATTTGCAAATTCTGTTTTAATTAATTTTTCAACATTTTTGCATTTGTCTTAAGTGAAAGCACAGCTATTTAAATGTCTTTAAAACATCTATATAAACCGAGCAACACGAAAGAAAGAGAGTTCAACGTTCAGGAAGTCTCTCAAAGCAGTTCTTTTAATGAATAAAAGGGATTTATTCAATGGCATAACTATCGGGCTGCAGGGGCCCCACGATATTGACACCTGGTTGGCCCACTACTCAATTGTGGACAAGGTCGTCTCTTTGCGGATGGTATGGTGAGATTACACTAGTTTTCACTAGATGCGTATGGCGGCAATGATCTGCATTGGATGGCGCACATGACGTGAAATAAATATTTATAAACATAAAACCGAAGCCAAGAGTAACGGGTAACGTTTGTTTTGAAAATGTAAGGAATAGAAAGTACTCAAGTGAAAACGTAATGAGTAGAAGTCAGAAGTAGGATGAATAATATTTAATTGAGTAAAGTATAGATACCTAAAAAGTGTCCTTAATTACAGCAACAAAGTATTTGTACTTTGTTACTTGACACTTCTGTTTTTAGGTCATAATGACCATTGTCACATTTGGATTAAAAAAAGTTTTTTTTTTTTTTTTTAAGTGCTGCAGGTAGCTTACTGGTGAACCAACAAAATTAAATACAAAAAGAAAAAGAAAATGCTGAAGAAATAATGCAACAGCTTTTGGCATCAATGTCTTAATATTTATTTACTTTAACATTATAGTTTTATGTCTTACCTTGCCAAATTGAAGCAGTTGTGTTAAAGTAACTTCATATGATTAACTAGATGCAAGAAACAGTCACATAATGTTTTTTTCTGTGAACATTATTTGAAAACATTGAAGCAGCATCTTAAGAAAAATTAAAGCTTAGATCAAAAAATCTGGTCTCAATATGTTGCAAAAATGTAATGTAGAAATCTGGTGTTTCTGCTGTTTGTACATACACACACAAAAGACTCATACCCAAATACAAAATGAAAAATACTTATTACAAAGTTTCACTCCCTCACTCAAATCGTATTTGTACAAAACACTTTTATCTGTTCATGGTCAGACGTTCAATATAAAAAAAATGCAGCACAACTTTGGAAAACTTTAACAGAGTCACCGTATGAATAGAAATATAAATTATTTTTAGCAAAAGAAGGTTTGATATGCATATTGGTATAACTGAGAGGAATGCTCAGTGTGATGATTATAAATTAAAGTTAGAAAATATACCTTTGTAACACATTTGAACATTGCCATGTATCAGTCATTCCAACCAGCAAACTAAGGAAACAGTCCTCAGCCTTCAAAGCAAAGACTAGAAACTGGGAATGATTTGTCTCCTATGCCACAAATAGCCTATTACCTGAAATACTTAACAAGAATGTATCAAGAACTACATAAACTCTTTTTAACAAAAACTGGACTTTTCTATGATTATACGACGGTTAAAATTGGGGAAGGTTTAGGTCTGTTCAACATGCTTTAAAATTTTACACTTTGAGGTTTTTATACAGTAGACGCCTGGTGTATAAGGTGTTTTGTTAAAATTCCTTTTACAGTAGTGTGGGGGATTTACCTCCTCAATAACAGGTGCTTAAACAATGACTTTTTGTCTTAAAAAAAAAAGAGTATTAGGGGGAAGGTTTAAGTCTTTGTCTGTATTGATGTAACTTTAAGAACTTCTCACCAATCTCTTTTTTTTCTTGGAGGTCACCTGGTCAGGTAATGCCATGGAAGCGCGGCCATGAGCAGTGCTGACAAGCAGCTGGTGTTTCCAATCAGCCTCATAAGGGAAATCCACACTGACTGGGAGGAAGGGGAGATTTTTTGGGTTTTGTTTGCATTTAGATTATTGCTTAGCTTCATTTTGTCCAAATTTAATTTAAATAGATTTTTATTTTTATTTTTCCTCTAGAGGTTTAATTTTATTGATTGCTTCTCCAAATAGAAAATGTAGATGTTGTAAAGGTTTCCACTCCTTTTATTAGAGATGATACAGGCTGATGCTTTAAAAGCTGGGTTGTTTAAACATGGGTGTGTCTTTTTTTAATGATTGTTCTTGTCGTGATTGAGGAAAGTGGAACCCCTGCTCTTCCCCTTTAAAATTCTCATTTTTTTTTACCCTTTTTGTTGTGTTATCTGTGCTTCACTGGCAAACCTTACAAGTATAAAGCTGCAATATTTATTAAGTCCATTTACTATAACACACATGACAGTTATTCAATTACAACACATTCTAACAAAAATACACTATTTATTTTATGGCAATTTGTCTACCCTCCTACTCTGACTTGCTGTTGGAGTCTTGAAGTCCACTGAATCTGGTACCTACACTATATTGCCAAAAGTATTTGCTCACCTGCCTTGACTCACATATGAGCTTAAGTGACATCCCGTTCCTAATCCATAGGGTTCAATATGACATCGGTCCACCCTTTGCAGCTAGAACAGCTTCAACTCTTCTGGGAAGGCTGTCCACAAGGTTTAGGAGTGTGTTTATGGGAATTTTTGACCATTCTTCCAGAAGCGCATTTGTGAGGTTGCACACTGATGTTGGACGAGAAGGCCTGGCTCTCAGTCTCCGCTCTAATTCATCCCAAAGGTGTTCTATCGGGTTGAGGTCAGGACTCTGTGCAGGCCAGTCAAGTTCATCCACACCAGACTCTGTCATCCATGTCTTTATGGACCTTGCTTTGTGCACTGGTGCACAGTCATGTTGGAAGAGGAAGGGGCCAGCTCCAAACTGTTCCCACAAAGTTGGGAGCATGGAATTGTCCAAAATGTCTTGGTATGCTGAAGCATTCAGAGTTCCTTTCACTGGAACTAAGGGGCCAAGCCCAGCTCCTGAAAAACAACCCCACACCATAATCCCCCCTCCACCAAACTTTACACTTGGCACAATGCAGTCAGACAAGTACCGTTCTCCTGGCAACTGCCAAACCCAGACCCGTCCATCAGATTGCCAGATGGAGAAGCGCGATTCGTCACTCCAGAGAACGCGTCTCCACTGCTCTAGAGTCCAGTGGCGGCGTGCTTTACACCACCGCATCCGACGCTTTGCATTGCACTTGGTGATGTATGGCTTGGATGCAGCTGCTCGACCATGGAAACCCATTCCATGAAGCTCTCTGCGCACTGTTCTTGAGCTAATCTGAAGGCCACATGAAGTTTGGAGGTCTGTAGTGATTGACTCTGCAGAAAGTTGGCGACCTCTTCGCACTATGCGCGTCAGCATCCGCTGACCCCGCTCCGTCAGTTTACGTGGCCTACCACTTCGTGGCTGAGTTGCTGTCGTTCCCAAACACTTCCATTTTCTTATAATACAGCTGACAGTTGACTGTGGAATATTTAGGAGCGAGGAAATTTCACGACTGGATTTGTTGCACAGGTGGCATCCTATCACAGTTCCACGCTGGAATTCACTGAGCTCCTGAGAGCGACCCATTCTTTCACAAATGTTTGTAAAAACAGTCTGCATGCCTAGGTGCTTGAATTTATACACCTGTGGCCATGGAAGTGATTGGAACACCTGATTCCAATAATTTGGATGGGTGAGCAAATACTTTTGGCAATATAGTGTATGTCTGAATATGCCGTTGCTGGAAGCAAAGACAAACAAAAAGGCTTCCATAGAACGATGTTCAAGGCAATTAGTGTCCGGCTGGAGAACAAGAAGATGAGTCTGACAAAGTGTGTTTTTAGATCATATGTAAGACTGGCTACCCAAGCTTTTTTTCCCTGCATCTTTACCATTTTGAGAAATTGTAAGCCTAGTTAATTTTATTCCATTTCCTACAAAGATGCCCGTTGTTATAGCTTCTTCAATAAATATATAGCAAAAGTAACAAGCATCAGTGCATTTTTGCTGACTTTATATGATGCACCAAAACAAATACTAAGTACACATGAATTGTAAATATCTTTCTTTGTGAAAATAAAAGAAATCTAAAAGTATTAGCTTCCAACACACTTTTCTCTGATACTCCTAAATTGACAATGTAACTAGCTCCCTTCAGAAGTCGTACAATCAGTTAAAAAAATCTATTGTGTGTATTCTTATCTCAGCATAAATACAGCTGCTCCTTCGAGGCCTCGGGGGATATGTTAGGAAAGATTAGGAAAAAAACAGTCTATAAAGATCAAGGGATACATCAGCCAATATGAAGGGACAAACAAGTTCAAAGATTTAAGACAGGGTTAAATTGTAAAAACAATATCCTGGGCTTTGAGCGTCTAGCTAAGCAATGTCCAATCCATGGTCTGGAAATGGAAAAAAAAAACTCACAGTGGGCTACACATTTAAACATACTAAGACATAGCCATCCACCTACCCTTACAGGGTAGGTAAGGAGGGCAGTATTCATAGAAACAGTCAAGAGGCCCATGGTAAAATCTAAAAGAGCTGCCGATCAGTTCAGACAGGTCACTCTGTTACAAGGACAGCTCTAATTTTTCAGAAAAAACCTACATATACAACCAGACTTAAAAGGGAGTTACTTAGTTTGAAGCACATTTGTGTTTCAGAATGACTCAGTCATAGTGCAAGCCTGACTATTTAGAAGACTGTACTGCACCAGTACTTAATAAAATGGCATACATTCTAGTTTCATGTTATGGTCAGCTGGTCCAATGAAGTACTAAAAGACATAATTTTCAAGTAGAAATCAAGATGTTTTTACAAGGTTTTTACTTAGGAGATATATAAATACTCATACTTCTAGATTATGGATTCTACAACTTACTGACAAACAAATATTTATTTTTTTGGTTAATAAGTGTTCACTACTTTG